GCACTTTGTTTTACTTTATTAAGTTTGCATCTTCTGCCGAAGTTTTTGGCTGATAATGAGGCACAACTCATTGATTGTTTAACCGAAATCTTGCACAACGGCCTTAGGAGCCTGGCAACTGTAATAATAATAATGTATATTTTCATAAAAACATAAATTTACATGAAAATGCAAGCCATTTTTACAGGCACGATCAAGTATGATATAACGTCAAATAGTAGATTTGAAGATATGTGAGTCTCCGATTATTTAGTGCTTTACCGAATGACCGGTTGTCATACTGAAACCTGGAATCAGAAACTTAATGCTGTTATGTTGCAGGCAACAATCTGCAATAGAAGACACTGTATGGGTAATATCTAGAGGGAATAATAGATAATTCAGATAGCAAAACTGTTCTACCTGATAATAGAAAGTAGTGTTCAAATCAAAATAGGAAAACCACACCGAAAAGTAACACAACTTTCGGATTTGCGGCGGCAGGAGTACCATGTTGCCTACTTTTGTGGCCTCCGAGAGTTGATGAAAGTCTGCAGCAGCTTGTTGCTAGTGCTTTATGTGACATATTTGGCAAGTTTCTAGACCATATAGAAGCACTGCGTTGACACTGGTGCTAAATTTTCGAATCTCGTCCCTTATGTTGGGTGCAGGTTTCCAAACCGACTTCAGAGTAATGATGTGATTTTTCTGGATTTGATACCCATATCCGCTCCGCCTGTGGACTAAACAATGCTACCTGCGAAGCGCATGTCTCCTTGGGGTCCTTGGGTCAAACCGTTGTATTCCTGTCTTCCAACTCCCCACTGTTTATCAATTTATCCACTCCAACGCGGAGAGGAAGACCATTGGTAATTATTGTCAGCCTGGTCTTACTCCTGTCACCATTTCAAACTCTTCAGTGAGCTTTCTACTGGGACTTACTTGACATGTAGCATCATTATGTATAGCTGTGAACGATGCTAATAAATGTGACCTGGATGGCACTAAATCCCGTTAAAGTTGCCATCACATTACTTTTCAGTCAATGTTACCTAAAGATATTTCAAAGTCGATGAAGCTGAGGTAAGACAGCCCTCATTCTAGGATCTGTTCGGTGACGATGACTAGAGTTGCAGTCTGGTCAGCATCTGAAAGATTTTTTCGAACCCAGTCTGCTGAGAGCAAAGTCTTCCATCAATAGTATTTTCTAGTCTCTTCAAGATGATATGGCTTAGCATTTCGCTTGTGGTAGGCATAATCATGATCCCGCGTAAGATTTTCCGTTGAAACCAGTCACCCCACCATAAAATTTTCACTTGGGAGCTTTTCTTCAGGCAAGCAGATAGCTTTTGTTTCTGGAATCCTAAAAATCAAAATGAGTGAAGGGAGAATTCCAGTTTTAGCCTTACACCAGCATAATTCAAAAGTCTGGTGAACAGGCTTCGCTCCATATCACATTAGGCTACCTTCAAAGTTTATTCCACCAGCCTTGTTCAAAGAAACAGTGGCGTGCTCTACTGATAGGATTAATCAGTAGAACATAGAGAAATGTTCTTCGGCGAAACATGGGAAACTTGAAAAGAGGATAAAGAAACACAATACGAAGAGCAGAATTAGCACACTGAATATCTGTATAAATGACGATTTGTAGATGAGCTGTTCACAATTAAATAAGTATAAGTGTATAACTTAGACCCTATGGTAGAATGTAGTTCGATATCAAATCCGTTCATTTTAAATATCACTCAATGATGCAGTATTAACAATTGGACGATCACAAAGTAACGTTCCCGTTCATTGTTGCGACTGAATTACAGCTTTAGAGGCTGACGGTATCGACGTTCGCGAATTGTACGGAGTATACTGACGCAAGATCTCATACCAGCAACTTCTATAGTATTCGTTTCTCATGTACCAAAGATAAAACAAAAGGCAAGATCGATCAACCAAAGTACGCGATATATTTCGGGACCAAATCGTGAACCGTGTTGAGTGCTTGGCTGGAGTTGTGGTGACCCTAATACAGAACCAGCCGCAAGTAAAAAAACTCGATGGTTCCCTTAAGAGTGAAAAAAGCTCTTCCGAGGGGCTTGGTGGAGTGCCTACTGGTCTGTCTGCCTATGCTTATATGGTGTCTGTGCATGGTTTCCTCTGTTTTTCGCTGGATCACGTGCTTCGTTTGTTTCTTGTCCAGTGCCCATCGCACCTGGAAAAGAAAACAAGAATGCTAAGAACCTTGTTGAGGAAAATGTACCAAATGACGTTTTTTTAAAAATGATGTGCATCTACGATACAGTAAAATAACGTAAAGTTTAAAACATCGAAAAAAGTAGGCATCCATTTTTTTTAAGTGCGTGTATAATGTACGGTTATAGGGAAAAATCTTTTAATTGTGTTTAATGATGCTACATAAAAAGTTGATGTGTCTGAAAAGAAGAAATAATGATTAATACCACAAACGAATGAGTTGGGTGAATCGCACCACTCGGTTATATGATATAGATGTGAAGGTATTCTGGGAATCTTACGTGACGTCCAGAACGCGTTCTCTTAGAGGGCTCGACCGAAGGTTCGGTGGCTTTCGCCGTGCTCGTGAGTTCTTCGGGGACTAAAGAATATTCGGTTACTTGCAGATTATTGGGAACGCTTAGCCCTAGGCTAATAGGATTACCTTCCAAGTAAGCCGGTTTCAGAAGGTTGATGCTGACGGTGTCTTTGTGGCCTTTTTGGTCTAAGACAAAGAATTCATCCAGACGTTTGATGACTTTACATGGTCCGTCGTATGGGGGTTCCAGAGGGCGACGCACAGAGTCGCGACGAACAAATATGTATGAAGTAGTTTTTAAACAGGGGTGAACGAAGCCATCAATGGACTGTGGTCGAACGGGGGCAGGTTTAACTGAACGCATTGCGTTTGTAAGCCTGCTGACGTATGAGAAGTGATCTACCGCTGGTGAGAAGCTCGAGGGAGAAGCAAAATCACCTGGCAGTCGTAGTTTGTCAGGAGCCAGTCGTCGTGCTTTAGCTGTCACAGGCTGTCCTGAGGTTTTGATTTGGTGCATAACATTGCTGGTTATGCACGGTAGATCGTTACGCACTTGCTGTATTCCCGCGGTAGGGCGTGAATAACTGCGAGGAACTGTGAGCGCTGATCGGTTATGCCATGCTCACAAAAATCAGACTCAGCTATCTGAAACCATGTTTCATCATTTTCTGGCCAATATGGTACGAGCTGAATTGTTTTGGCGGTTGAGCGAATACGACTAACCTTGGGGCTAGGATCATGTATGCCGATCACAGCATAGTACAAGAACAAACACAAAAAGGAACGAACTCACCGGGTTTATCTGCGTATTTATTGAAGGTGAAGTTCGCGGTTCGGCTCACCAGTTAGAAGGCTGACGGTACAGACGTTCGCGAATTGTACGGAGTATACTGACGCAAGATCTCATACCAACAACTTCTATAGTATTCGTCTCTCATGTACCAAAGATAAAACAGAAGGCAAGATTGATCAACCAAAGTACGTGATATATTTCGGGACCAAATCGTGAACCATGTTGAGTGCTTAGCTGGCTAGTGATCGTGCACGCACGTGACACAACGGAGTATCAAATGGCAAGGATGCTTGGCTGGAAGCCTTCAGCTAAACAAGTCGACTTAAACAGTGATGGTCAGCATCCAATGTTGAGTGATGATTTCTGTGGTCAATAATTTTGGGGAATTATTTACCGCTACACAGTGAAAAAATCTACGACTGACTTTCTGCAGGAGTTTTGGGTGGTAATCAGCAGATGAGATGTTCAGAATTTCACTTTAATGATTTATGAAGTTCTTAATAAACGTTTCTTTACACATGCTCTTGCCTTCTAGCTTTATACCACTTCACGTTGTCTAAGTCTTTGTTCTGATATTGGCGGAGGGTTAGCTTTTGACAGTTTTGTCGCCCTGTTCTTGAGTAATGAACTTCAGTCTTGACCTATATCAAGCCTCTTTGATCTTGAAGCTTCCTTGCTATAGACACTGGTCAATGCACACATCTGCTTCTCTTAATTTTGTGTCCGGCATTCACCAACTCCACTTTGTCTAGCTGTGGACGTAGTGTATCTTGTTCCTGGTATATCCATCTGAGGAAGCACAATTCGCCAAGTATATATTTGTACTTGTACACGCAAAAGCTCACCAACTCTCTTCTGTTCCCACCCATTTTGTGAAGATCCTTTCAATCCAAAAGAATTCTCTTCTCGTCTTGATTGGTCTCACTTCACATTGCATCCATTTCACCCGTTATTTAGTTGACGCAGCCATTTTACGTCTAGTCCATTGCTGCTTGCATCTGCCTGCAGCAGTAAGGCTTCCCCTGATCTGGCCTGCGCTGTTCGCTGGAGCGTAGAAATGTATAACTGAAACTTTCATACCACTTGAATCTTGCTGCCAGCATGCTTCAGGAGATTTTGCCTTCAAAGCTGTTGGTAACATTATGATAGCCACACCAATAATGTTCTCGTTATCGTTCGCGTTATCGTCTGAGTAACTGAGGCAGATTATTGAATCCTCGGTTAAGAAGTCGGACTGTCCATTTCCACTCCATCTGTTCCCACATATCTCCAGGGCTTCTCCAACATGTTTTCCTATTCCTGTAGAATTTCGAGCTGCTTTGCTAGCCTTGTGTGAATTTTCTATGCCTTTAAGCCTACTTTTGATCGACGGATCACCACGTACTTGAAGGTTGCTGTCTCCAAACAAAATCTGGATACTAGCCAGCAGTACGAATTTTTCTTACGAAAGCATGGCCATTTTATAACAGTAGTAATTGCCAGAAAATCAGCATGGACTACATACATTAAAACAACACTTACATTCAGTCCGATGTTCCCCTCAGAATTGGGAAGTTTTTTATCTGCTAGCCGATTTGTTTGAATGTTTTGTAACTGCTACAAAAGGGCCGCATCTATTCATTAAAGCGCGTAGTTCGGAATCTGTGGTTAACTACTCCTTAAGTGAACATCCGTAATTCTGATATGAGTGATAGAAGGAGTCGTAATGCACCTCGCGGAGTGAGTGATGATAGAGTCAGAGGGGTAGTAAAGTGGTTTAACGTTAAAGCTGGCTACGGCTTCATAACACGGGCTGACACATCAACTGACATCTTTGTTCATCAGACAGCTATTTCGCGAAATAACCCTGGAAAGATGCAGCGGTCATTACAAGAAAACGAGGAAGTTGAATTTTTTGTGGTTGAAGGCGATAAAGGAGTAGAAGCATCCGATGTTACTGGTCCCGATAGGAAACCGGTTAAGGTACGTCTATGAACTAAAAGTGAACGTATGATTAGGGGAGTGACTACGCAGCCAATCGTCCATTCGGACGCAGTCCCAGAGAATTTGGCATGCGAAGTGATAGGGATGATTCCAATGGCTACAGAAGCAACGGTTTTGGAAATTACCGTTCCAGAGGCCAAGGTCGTAACGGAACAAAGGTAAATGAAGTTAATATGCATTTGAGTCAGTCCTAACCCACTGTACAACTTGTTGATTTTGTCGTTACTCCTTTGTTTTTGAACTAGCATCTAGGGTAAAGTACTGACTAGACTACTTGTTCTGCGCTTGGAGTCAGTCATTTGATTAATCTTGTATCCTGCTAATATCCGTTAGAGGTCTGCAGTAGATAAGTTTATTGAGGTCTATTTACAAGTCAAAGGACGAAGTGTTAGATAGTTGACTTAATTAATTAGGTCATACGAGCATTAGCAGTTCCCACATCAGTCCCTGTTTGTGTTTCTCCAGTGAAATTCTGATATGTGTTGCGACGTAAGTATAAATGCATTTCAGATGGTCACTGAGCTGTATCAACAGGATCAGGTGTGAGGCTGTCGGCGATGGTTTGTGCAGCCAGGTCATATTATCTACCTCAGGGTACTCGTAGGTAACTCATGTTTCTAAGCGCAAATCTTCGAAAAACATCTTTCCTCTGGTTCTTAGACTTATTTGAAGTCTGTGAAACTTACCTCGATGTAGATAACTTAGTTCATGAAGAAACAATTTATTTACTACCACGAGTTATACTCCTCTTCAGTGGTGGAAACAACACTTTGGAGACTTTTAAATGTATGATGGTAAGTATTTGAAGATGGCAGTTATCTGTTGTGAACCTAGTGATTATCTTGATTAAAACGTGTTAACTCAGGTTCTGTGGGTATGAAGACTGTTTATCTCGAAATAACGCCAATATGCAAACCGTCAGTCACTCAAATCGGCTCGGATATGCTCACGCAACTACTGTAGGTGTTTTTGGGAGAGAAAAAGGAAGACCACTTACCGACAAAAAGTTAAGCTACCTTGTTAAACTGCCAACTGGAAGCAATTGGCGCAAAATCGTGCTGTTATCCACTCCAGGCCAAATCTTGATGCGCGTTATCCTGAACCGGCTAAAAATTGCACTGAATGGAAGACTTGATCGGGAACTGATTGCGTTCAGGCAAAACAAACCATGCACTAGTCAAACTACCATGCTTTGGATCATAATCAACAAAGTCTGGAATGGTATTGCTTTCATATCTCAACTCCATTGACTTCGGAAAGCCTTCGATAGCATCAACTGTCAAAAAATTGTGCTATTGTTTCAATACTATGGAGTACCGTGCCAAATACTTATATGAACCTTATTAAATAGCTATACGTGTCAAGCGTTTAAATGGACATAGAAGTAAGACGAGATTGTTTGCATTGATCATCCTGATAGCTGCAACCTGGACATCAGACAGGTCCTCGACTGGGACACGAATATGAAGCGTTGTGTTGACTGTTTATTCGCTGGTGACATGAAGATCATATGGGGAGGGAATGAAAACTTGAAAGTAGTCGTCGAGTCAGTTGAAAGTGGCAGATTATAATGTACAGTGAAGGTAGGTTCTACGTTACTCTCGTAACACAAAGAATGAATAATATTGACTCATGTAGTGAAATGCTCATTTCGTAAAGGGCTCAACTAAATTTTTTCTCCAAAAGACTCAGATTCTATAACGATTAGTGACTTTTTTTGGTAGTGTATTGGTTCTCTTTAAATATTTTTTCTCTTGGTTGCAACAGTTATCTTTATAAAATTGCATTATCTTGTTAGCTGTACTTTTATCTTACAAAAATTGTATATGTTATATGATTCAAAAGTGTGTCCACTGTGCTAACAGCAAAATGCGAGCTATCCTTACTAACCAGATTAATCACCTATACTTAGAGTTTTTCTGTCTAGAATAATATAACCTCAGTTTGTTAGTGTAGTCGGTCAAATAGCTGCCTCAATGTAAGCGCCCTATCCATCTTAAAGAAGAATTCTAGCATAATGGCAAGTCTGTTAGAAGGAGTAATGGTGGTCGATATGTGCAGACATGATGAACTCTTGGTTTTTGTTGTCCGATCTGATGGCCAGAGGAGTAGACTGACTGACTGTAGTGGGGTAGTAAGATGATGAGGGTAAATGAGAAGGCTTCGTGTCCTTATGAAAGTGCTGCTGGCACCGTGAATGCTGACTGATTCTTCAGGTCCCTGTAATAGAAAGAGTGAAAAGGCTTCGCAAGCGTGAATGTTTTATTACTGAGGAATTGGAGATGTTGCGAACATTAACATGAATGTGTCTAAGCAACGACAAAACCGTGTACGTTATTAGTGAGGCCTATTGTGGAGAGTCCAACTACTATTTCAGCATTTCGAGAACCTTAACCAGCCTTCCTTACTTACATTCGTTTTACGAATATGCAGTCGCTAAATCAAAAGGTATCTGTGAATTCAAGGGAATGTGTACTATTGGAAATGTTGAATTAATGCCAGCACTATTACAAGAGATGATATACAACCAGTCAAGCCCGCACCCCTCCTCCCCCAAGAAAACTGTTCAGTTTTATATATTGAGTTATTTATAGTAGTATTCAACCCAGTCATTAGAAGTACACTGCGTATTCGCTCCATCATTTTCAAGCTTGAATGTGATTTGAGGTGAATCAGTCCTATAGCTCCAACCTTAACTATCTCGAGGGTGAAACAAACCACCACCAAAAGAAACTGAGAACTCGGTCACCGAATTTAAGGATAGTATTATGAAATAATTAACTGGATGTTATGATACTTGTGATCACTGTATATAATTGTTCATCTTAGTTTGTAAGAATATGGAGAAGCTTGACAGTCTCAGAGTTCATGTTATTAGGCGAAATCTTAGTCCACACAAGGATTCATTTCTCTCATGGTTATCTGGCATCTGATACCGATCTGTTTCCACGCGGAAACGGACTTCGTGAGGTGTGCTAAAAGCTAAGGAGTACCATTTTGTTAGTCATACTTCGGGATATTTAATGACTGGTCTGATGACACCGTGATGCAAATTAACCAGTTTAACGATTCCCATATAGTTTTGTCATGTAAATTAGTGTCTTACTTCTTAAATTACTCTGGAACAAGAAAATCCGAGTTGTTTTTTGCTAGGGGAACTCATGCAGTATATTCCTTTCACTATTAAAAAAGGGACATTATGAAGTCAGCACAATTATCTTGATATTTGTCATTTTGAATAATCATAATGGAAGGTACGGTGTCCCTCTTATTATACGAGTATCGTGATTTGCGCAGGAGTTACACTTGACTATGGTAATATGGTTTCTCGACCAAAGTCGTCTGCACATATACTTGATTTTAGGGGGGGGGGACTACGTGGCAATTATTACTCCGTTGATACGTTGTGTGTGAGTGGATCAAACACTTGATACGCGCGTCTCATCACTTCTTGCAAAATATAAACTAAAAAAAATTAGGTCGCGGACGTAACTGGGGAAGTAGACTGACATATCATCCTGATGGTGTCCAACGAGAAGCAGGTTTTGTCGATGATGCCTTCATGGCGATAGAAATCTATTAGTACTTTAGTAATTTCCATTGTAGCATTGAAAACACAAAATTCAGCGAAGAGACTCTATTCAAATCTATTAGCAAAAGGTTTTGTTATCGACTTAAAATTGTTTTTTATATCAAAGAATTATTCAAAATTCACGTTCGGGTTTTTGAAAATCTGTAATTCTTACAATATTCGGTTTCCAAAGTCTTACTTTGAAATAGCATACCTATACCTGTTTTTGTGCTTGACTTAGTTCGTACCGCTCCCGGTCATTTTCAAATATCAGTGTTCGGTGTTACACTGCTACCTCTAAACATGCGCAAATACATTTACGACAATTTCATATTCTAAAGCTTCGTATCAGCCTTAATCATTCTCCATTATCAACTTTGCATTAGAAGAGTCGTTTTATTTTTTTTAAATGTTCTTTTTTGTTTTACTTAGATGGATGGTGATTACTCACGAAGATTTGCTGACAGAAATCCACGTGATCGTAGCAGAGGATACGGCTCAAAAGACAATGGAGGCTACTATTCCAGCCCATATTAACTTCAATCATTGTTGTACATAATTGCATTTTAATGCCTAATTTGTACATTTTTCTTCTCGTAATGTCTTCTTCTAGTTAAAAGTGTCTATGCTTTTTCTGTTGACATGACGATCTCTGCATTTATATATATTCAAATAAACGCATGCAAATTCTAGCTATGATAATGAAGCCTGTCAGTTAGTTGAACACTGTCAGAAAGTTAATTCGTACATTGCTTTAAGGAATATGCCAAGAGATAGATAGATAGATAGATAGATGCAGAAATTTTGTCCAGCAGTTGAATTGATATCAATTAACTTGACAGTGGTAGCAAGCACGATTTCAGGTAACCAGGATTCCCCACTGTGTGTTATCGGTAAGGATTCTGGACGATAAAGTTGGCACTGCCTAGTGTCTGTGAGTAACATCAACTGCGTATTAGACGGGTTTCGACTTGAAGTGTGTAGATGTATGCGAGTCGCCCGTATGGAATATGAGACGGTGCTGCAAAACCGACTGGTCTGCATCGACTCCTAGCTTAAAGTGAAGTGATTGAGCGTATCGATTATTTTACTTATCTTGTTGCATCAGCTTTTATAGACTGATTCCTGATGAAATTTCTGCACGGGGATACAAAAAACGCTTACGGAATTCGTCAATTCACGTCATCTTTCACATAAATTTGATGTCGAACTGTCGATTGAGGTAGTGATTTTTACGCGACAGTCCGTTCTGTTTTTATGGTTGTGAGACATGACCGTTGAGAAAAGAACACCTGACGAGATAAGTTGGTTTCAACCTTAAGCATCTCGAAATTTGATGATCAAAGACGAGGCAAAGCGCAGTGTTAGGTAATGGGGCAGGGGAATAAGTCGACGAGGATGGGAAGCTACATCGAAGAAAAGGTGGCTAGCGCAGCCTATCCTCGTCTTAGCTGACGCAGAATAGGTCGACGAAAAATTTGCTATCAATATGTGAAGTCAAGCCATATGACGAGGCGAAGTGGTTCTCACTGGTGCAGATGCCTTCATGAATTGTGACATAATGCACTGTCCTACGCCGAGAGTTCAGTTCCATATATATATGTATGAAGAGGGCATCGTTGAAGCGGATGGCAAAGACTTGTCTAGTAATGCTTATAGAGCTTTAGAATTTGCGTATTCATTGAAGTGAAGGCACATCGAAGCGAGTAAGATATGAGAGACAGATAAATCAATTATCGACTCAAAATGATACGTAAATCAAGAAAAAAAAACAATATTATAGTTCAGCTTATGTTATTCATACAAAAAAGTCTATTTTACAATATCAATCACTGTGTTGTCTCAACACCAGTACTTTATAAGCACAACCGAGCCAGTTCATCACGAAGTTCTTGTTCAGTGGCAATTTTCTCCAATTGATTGAATGCTAACGCTTTGCCTGAGGCTTGTTCTTCTTTAAGTTTTTCGATTTGACTCAATTTCTGTTTTGTGAATAAGAAAAAAGGAAACAGGGACGGAGTAATAAAAAGGTTGGTATTGCATAATTGGTTTTCCTACTTCTGCTGGAAATGTGGCTGATTGCCAACTCGACTTCCAGCCGGTCGATGGTCCCCAGTTTGCACTTCACCTCAGCCTAGTGAATAAGTTAGTAACACTGTCACTCCACACACACAGTCTGTGTGTAGCCCACAACAGTGTGAAATATGGAAAATCTCTTCCGAGAACTTCCTACTGTTGACTATGCTTAGATCTTGAACTGTTACACATGTGTTGGCATAATTCTAATTGGATTCCATTCAATCTGTAATTTCTGCATCCGAATTCCAAGTAAATAGATAAGATGATCGGTGCCAACGCAAATTTAGCAACCAAGGGTATCTCATGTCAATCAAGACGGACATTTCTTACATTTTCATGAAGAAATTAGTTAAGTTCGCTTTACATTGAAGTCTGCTTTGAAGATGTTATCTAGGAAGACGATGAAAGCTTCACAGTTAAATTATAAAGCTCAGAGAATACAATCACATCGAATTTACTGCATTTAGCTACCCCCTATCTCACATACAATAGGATTTAACGGACGCCACCAATGAATACCACACACATTCACCTACGAAACATTAAACTTAAGTCTCTGACTGTGACTAGCAATGGAGTTGACAAAGCTTATTTTGGACTCCTTTAGATGGATGTACCTGAATCCTCATTGAGTGATAGTGTTTCCTTTGAAATTCGAACTCATCGTTTAAAAAGGCGGCATAGCGTTATCCACTAGGTGTTATAAGTTAATTAGATTCCAGCGGATTAGACAATAAGAGCAGCGGAACCTATGCATTGTATTGTTCTTTCCTGTATGGTGCCGAAAGAAATACGGTTTCCGCAGCAAATCTTACTTGCGTCCCTACTCTGTTGGATTTCTTTTGGCTTACTACATGACTGCATATAGGCTTTATATGACACTCTGGGATCCTCACCTAACTCATCACTTTTTATTCAGGGTTTCACTCGACAACCTACGTGGCAGCATGTGATGTCACTTTAACGGTCTCCCCCAGAGCCTGTCAAATCCATCTCCATTTCTTTATGCGCACACATTCGTTAGACATTACGTTACGTATTACTTATCCTCTCTAACCATCTGATGTACAGTATTGAGGGAAGGCACATGTTCATGAAAGTTTGCAGCTTGTTGCACGATGATACAGCTCTTAATATTTTGCTTCGAGGTGTTGAAGCATTCGTTATCAGTTGTTTCAAACTTTGAATTCATGACTCCTAAGAAGGAGTCGTTTCTGTAGCTTTCTTCTTTCAGTTTCTGAGTGTTGAACTCTCAAAGCTTTCAACTTGATCTTGAAGCTTCTTTGCATTAGGTACTAATATGAAGCTACATCTACTCTTTTCCCTTATACTGTGGTTTTCTGTATGCCTATCTAGTGAGATTCATGTCGCCTATTGTATACCTCTGGACTTACAAACGCTTCCGCCGCCATTCATCTAGTCACTAAAAGCCTGATCTTAAATTAGTTATGCGTTCTCACATTCATCTCATCGAAAACCTTTCAACCCATAATGAATTCTCCCCTTGTGCCTTCTAATCTAAGTTTGCCTTGTACTTATATCACCCGTTGGAATTTTCAAGTCAATATCTGGTTGAGTTGTAAAGCTTTAATACGAGCGGTACTTTTTTATGGAGTGGGGTTGCTAGCCTCAAGCCTTATCTTTCCTCTATAATGGCCTTACTGGAGGTTTAAGGAGCGCATCGGCTGGGAACCAGCCTATGTGAGTGGTTGGCGAGTATTCCAACACTGAACCATCGTAGCACTGTATAAGCTATACCTTTCTTTCGTTCCTTAAAAGGTGAATCATTATTATTATTGTTTCCTTTAGTTCCTAGAGGAATATAGGACCTCAGCCACGCGTCTCCATTTCGTTCCCTTCTCCGCCAACATTCTCACCTGGCTCCACGTTTGCCCACATGTTTTCATCTCTTCTTCACTTCACTTCCTCCATGTCACCCTCGCAGTAACGGCCAACTCGCCGCTTCCACTCGGGATAGAGCCTGGCGTGTGATGTAACTTGATGGTTTGTTTCCTCAGAATATGGTCAATCCACCTCCATTTATTCCTCCACATTTCTTGCACAATTGGTTCCTGCTGGGTTGGTTTGTTCCTAGAGATCCCTCACTATTGCTGATCTTTTCTGGGCGGCCATCCGGTCTTGAGTAGTATTGAACGAAGATAGCTGTTGATGAAGGTCTGTAGTTTGTTCGAATTGCTCTTCGTGATGTGGCATGGCGCCAAGTCTCTGATCCTTATACTAGCACTGACTTCACATTGCAGTTGAAAATTCCGATGTTATTCTTATTTTCATACTGAGTGCTGTTGATGTCCACACAGACTTGTGAGTAATGAAAGCTTGACTTGCTTTCCCGATGATCCTCACTTTGATATCCTCATCAGTTCCGTCCGCCTGCAGCTGAAACGACGATGCTTCTCAGGTAGATAGGTAGGTAAAGGAGATTGCTTCTTGCAGACTCCTCCCATTTATGCTGGCTGATTGTTGTTGTTGCTGGTGCTGTTGCTGTTGGCCAGGAATCTTCATCACCTACCTCTGTCTTCTCTATATTCGCCTGAAGGAAGTCCTTTCTTCTCTGGATGCTTCTTCCTTTGTCACTTTGTTGCTTTTCACTTGCATATCTTCCAGTTTGTGGAAATCAGACATACATAGTATAGTATAATTAATACTGTAACATTATTATTGTGTGTTATATATCAAATAAACTTGACTAATATGAAGTAAAATACTAGATAAAGCATTTTTTGTAGAGAAAAAAACTCGAAATAAACTCACTTTACATATTTGATTAACTTGTTTTTGATTCTTAGGATCTGATGCAGTTTGATGAATGGCACCAGTGGTAGTAGTCGTCGTGGTAGCATCATTATTGTTTTTACCTTTAGATACTACTGAATTATTGACACCTGTTAAGGCGCAAATGGAGTGGAAAGGGAAAATGAAACAAAAATTGTATTTCATAAGGAAATTCAAATAATAGAAATAACAATTCACCAGTTTGAGTACTCCGGTAGTTCGTCCTGTCCTCCTATATGGCTGTGAGCGAGACGTGACCATTGATAAATGGAAGGTATGAAAAGCCTGACTAGACATCTTTGATCATAGGTGCCTCCATTCTATCTCCTGTGTTAAGTTGTATAATAAGGTGAACAATATTGAAGTTGGGTGTCGAGTGCCAGATAGGACGGGGGAAGGGGGAAATCAATCGACGAGGTTGAGAAGTTAACCAACAATTGAGATGGTGAGGACATGTGTCACGCATGCCTGCATAGCCATCGTATTCCTCGACCGCTTTATTCTTTCCTATTTGTCGTCATAGGGGTATTAGAATTTTCCAGATGTACGACTGGACAGGTGTTGAATCATTCCTATTGCACGTGTTTGCAGTTGATTCGATAAACCAAGCTTCTGTTATCAATCTCTCCCTATACTTCCATACAACGAAGGAACCTCGGAAATCA